CAGATTACATAAAGTTAAAATAACTTTTTCAGAAAAACAGCGTCGCTGTCATGTATAGATAAGGCAGTTGAAATAATCAAACTGCCACTGAATTCGAATTCGTCTTAATAAAGTGTTTGTCACTGTAGCAAACAGCACCCACGAATTTTTTTGTGGTATTTTTTCACTAACAGCCCTTATAAACATAGTAAATTTTACAAGCCTACCAAATGAAAACTAATTTTTATTATTTTAAATTTTATTTAGATGGACATAATCAAACTTATACGTTTGTACTTGGTCTTACTAATTACATCGCCAAAATTAAAGGTAAGATACTTACTAAAATAAAATGTTGCAATTATATATATATATATACTTATGCCAATTTGATCAAATGCTAATGCAGTTTACTTGCTTCATTTGAAAGAGCCTGACTTAAAACTTTGGAATTATCGTATTTTATATAAGTAGACAAATCTATTTAGCTTCGTATCAGACCATTGCATTTTCTATTTAGTATTATATTGTAGTTCCAAGCTAATCAAATGCCTTTTATTTGACTGCTCTTTTTTACCTATGTTATTTTACACAAATGTTTAAGATCGTTTTTGTTGCTAACATCCGTTGTATAAACAGTTTTTGTAAAGCACAGACTCTGGAAAAACAACTTTTGGCTCCCCTAAAAAGGCTTACAATTTATTTGTTTAACATTCCAGCACTAAAAGAATAACTTTAAATAATGGTGCTAGTTTGTAACAAACACGGCAATGTGTGCGGCTATCTGCAAGCGTACTCTGCCTACAGGGTCGGCTGTGCTCAGGGAAAATGGGAGTGGGGTTTTGCTACCTAGAGAACCGCGCCGTCACATAAACTTAAATAGTAGACAGAGTAGGGAACTATTGACTAACTAAACCAAAGCCCAAAGAATCAAATTTTATAATGAGTGTGAGGAATAGTAGATGTCATTTAATTGCTATCGTAAATTCTTGAATGAACAACATAAATGAAGTCAATAATACCCATTATATGGTTAATATGCCATGGGCAAGTTAACGTTAAGTGAGCATTTTCCATGGGCAAGTTGTCTTTAAGTAATTTTTGCGTATGAAGTCTAAAATGAAGTAAATTTTTGCGAATTGGGACACCTGAAGTAACTGAGCGTCATTAATAAGGGCATTGGCCATGGCATATTAACCATATAATGGGTATAATTGACTTCATTTATGTTGTTCATTCAAGAATTTACGATAGCAATTAAGTATTATTAAAATAAAGGTAATACTTAACAAAATCGTACGGGTGTCGAACCGAACCGGAACTTTCTTTTTTTGATATTCGGTTCGGTTCACGAAAAATTTATTTTGTATGTTCATGTTTTTTTATTCAACTGTGAGGAGTCATAAACTCCCCACAAATCCCGATGCAGGAGATCGGCCTAGCAACAGCGAAGGAGGCGAGAAAGCCGGAGAAATGAAGGGCATCCAGGTCAAACGGGAAACATTCGGACCTTGGACCCTCATATAGCAAGGGCAACGAGGTCAAACGGTGAATTGGCGGACTTTGGACCCGCCTAAAGAGGACACACCGTGAATTAACGGTACCTCGATGGACCTTGGACCCGCGCCCGGCAACGGCAACGGGGTCATACGGTAAATTGGCGGACTTCGGACCCGCCCAAAGAGGACACACCGTGAATTAACGGTACCTCAGTGGACCTTGGACCCGAGGGAAATAACGGCACATACAGCGCCTATAAAAAGGACGGCGCAAGCGCAGCTCGGGACAGTACGAGTGCGAGAATCAGAGCGAGTGCGTGAACGCGGAATAAGTAAACATCGAAACCGAAGTGCCTAAGGATCAAGATCGCAAAGTCGAGACGCCGAACGACGGAAAGTCTACAAGGCTGAGGCTACAACGCTGAGATCCAACGGTGCTAGGTCGTGGTAAAGTCAAGCTTAGGGAGTCCTTGCGCGGTGTCAGGCGATAAAGGTGGCTAGGCGATAAGGGAGAACTCTGTTCTACCTGCTAGGCGACACACCTTGCCGACAAAGTCCAGGCTGAACTCCGGAAGCCAGGCGATAAAGGTGGCTAGGCGATAAGGCGTAACTTCGGTTCACCTGCTAGGCGATACACCTTGCCGGCCCCGGTAGGGAAGCTCGCATAACATCCAGGGTTTTGGTGGAGTCGTACCGATCTCAGTCACCCGGAGCAGCAAGCCGAAGCAACACAGCGGTAAGCCAAGAGCGACGCAGCAGCACGCCAGGAGCAGAGGAGCAGCAAGCCGAAGCAACACAGCGGTAAGCCAAGAGCGACGCAGCAGCACGCCAGGAGCAGAGCAGCAGCGAGCCAGGAGCAACGCAGCAGGAGACAGCGACAACGGGCAGCAGAATAATAGCAATAAGGCTATATTTTAGAGAGTCAATAAACCAGCACCAACCTAATCATTTCTGGCGTTATCCTTTGGTCACGGGCGGTCACTCAATATAAATTTGGTGGAACGAACTCACAACCTCTCTGAGCTAGCCGCACGTTTACGTAGCGAGCAGAAATAAAGAATCAGGTCGTTACATCTGGCGCCCAACGTGGGGGCGCCTGGACCAGCTGCGAGAGGCGAAGTACATCAGCAGTCTCGATCTAAAGGACGGTTACTGGCAGATCCCCTTGGAGGCAGACAGCAGGCAGTATACGGCGTTTACTGTACCAGGGAAGGGCCTGTTCCAATGGAAGGTGATGCCATTTGGCCTACACTCCGCGTCGGCAACATTCCAGCGGGCATTGGATCAAGTCATTGGACCAGAAATGATGCCGCATGCCTTCGCGTATCAGGACGACATTATCGTCATCGGACGAACGCTCGAAGAGCATATGGAAAACCTGAAGGAAGTGTTTAGGAGACTAAGGGCCGCCAACCTGAAAGTAAATGCGGAAAAATGCAAATTTTTTAGAAAGGAACTGCAATACTTGGGGCATCGCATAACAGACCAAGGCATCGGAACAGACCCAGAAAAGGTGTCGGCAATTGCCTTAATAAAACCACCGGCCAACGTTAAGGAGTTACGACAATATTTGGGAGTGGCGTCGTGGTACAGGCGTTTTGTGCCAGATTTTGCAACGTTGGTGCATCCGTTGAATAGCCTGCTCCGGAAAAGCACAAAATGGGAATGGACAGATGACCATCAACAGGCGTTTGAAGCTGTCAAGGCCAGGCTAATAGCAGACCCAATCTTAGCATGCCCAGATTTCACAAAGACATTTGTGCTGCAGACCGACGCCAGCGATTACGGGCTCGGTGCTATTCTCACACAGAATTCCGACCACGGTGAGAGGGTGATCTCGTATTCCAGTAGGTCCCTAAATGGTTCTGAGAGAAATTTCTCAGCGACTGAGAAGGAATGCCTGGCAATTGTGTGGGCCATACGCAAGTTAAGGCCATACTTGGAGGGCTACCACTTCAAAGTGATCACGGATCATATGGCACTGAAGTGGTTGAATAGCATCGAGAGCCCAACCGGAAGAATCGCACGATGGGCGCTGGAACTGCAGCAATATGACTTCGAGATCGCGTACAGAAAGGGCCAGCTGAATATAGTCGCAGACGCACTATCACGACAGCCACTGCCAGAAACGTGTCGACGGGTAAAAACACAGGAACAGCACAAGGAAACCGGCGAGTGTAACTGGATAAGGGATATGCGGAGCAAGATTTCCCAAAATCCCCAAAAATATCCAGACTACATGACAGAAGCCGACCAGCTATATCGCCACATACCACACAGAGCAGGCAACGAGGACGTCACGTCTTGGAAGCTATGCGTGCCAACGGGGTCCAGGCGGCGGGTAATGTCGGAGAACCACAACTCACCGACAGCCGGCCACATGGGCAGTCGGAAAACAATTGCCAGAGTCGCCGCAAGATATCATTGGCCGGGAATGCACCGCGACATAAGGAAATATGTGCAAAACTGCGAGAGCTGCCTACGATACAAGCCAAGCCAACTACAGGCGGCCGGAAAAATGCTGACCCAAGTTCCGGAAGAGCCGTGGGCCACTGTGTGCGCAGATTTCGTCGGACCACTGCCCCGCTCCAAGCACGGGAATTCTATGCTGCTAGTGCTGGTAGATAGGTTCTCCAAGTGGACCGAAATGGTGCCAATGCGCAGGGCAACGACGGAAACTCTGGAAAAGGCGATCCGCGAGCGGATCCTCGCAAGATACGGCGTGCCCAAGGTACTGATTACAGACAATGGCGTTCAGTTCACCAGCAGGGCGTTTAAAAAGTTCCTGGGTGAATTAGGCGTCCGACACCAGTTCACGGCCCCGTACACGCCCCAGGAAAACCCGACGGAGAGAGCCAACAGGACGGTGAAAACTATGATCGCCCAGTTCACAGGGGCAGACCAGAGGACTTGGGACGAAAAGTGGCCGGAACTGCAGTTGGCCGTGAATACGAGCGTGGCCGAATCCACAGGATATTCGCCGGCTTTTATTACGCAAGGGAGAGAGCCTAGGTTACCCAGCGCACTGTACGATGAAGGAACAATCGGCACAGGAAGGGAAACGCAAACTCCGGCCGAGAACGCCAAGAAGCTAAAAGAAATCTTCGAGCTGGTGAGGAGAAATATGGAAAAGGCAGCGCAGGATCAGGCACGCCATTACAATCTCCGTAGACGCCCATGGAAGCCAAACATCGGGGACACAGTCTGGGCTAAGGAACACCATCTGTCCAAGGCTGCAGAAGGATTCGCCGCAAAATTGGCACCAAAGTACGATGGGCCGTTTAAGATAATAAATTTTAATTCGCCAGTGATATGCAAGTTGCGGCACGAAAATTCTGGCAAAGAAAAAACCGCCCACATTAGCCAATTAAAAAAACAAGTAATTGATGGCCAAAACAAAGGATCGGAGTCGGACTTAGCAAGGGCGCACTGTGACTCCGAAGAGAGGGAGAGGACGATACACAGTATCGAACTCACACAGATGCAATAGGAGCGCGAGAGCGGGAGAGGGAGGGGCTTAGGATGCGGATAGCGTTACCGGGTAACGCATACCAAAGCAGGGACCCGTCGGAGCCCGTAGCAAGGGAAAGTCCAAAGGCCGCCGCGGATAACGGAACCGGAGACATGGGCAACCGAGGTTTCGTCAGCGCGCGAGCGCCACAAGACGGGCCTATTCAAATCAGGTCGCCAAGATGCCAGCACGCAGCAGCAGCAAAGCCAAATCATAGGGAGAGGGGCGGGGAGGCAGCACCGAAACCGCGAGATGGAGGCGGACTCAGGTTCCGCACTCCAGCTGCTGGCGTCCCCCTGGTTCGCGGTCGGCCCCGTCGCCGAACCCAGAAAGAGGACGAAGGTCGGATCACCGACGTGGAGCTGGAGGAGGAGGAGGAGGCCGGCGTCCGGTCGGCAGGGCAGGAGGCTGAGGTGCCGACCATCAGCCTGTCCTCGTCCGAGGAGGAGGAGGAGGAAGCCCAGGAGGACACCGGGACGGAGACGGTGAGTCCGGAGGTCTCCCGACGGAGGACGACAGGAAAGGCCCGGATGGCATTCCGCCGCATAAGAAGGGCCGCAGCCGGATTCGGGCGGATCCGGTTGGGCGACGCAGCGCCATCAGGCCGCCCGGAGGAGGCAATGCGTATACTCGCAACCCGGGCAGAAGTGGTGCGGCGATGTTCGCGCAGCGGGGGTGGCGCAGCCGCAGCAGCCAGGGAGTGGCAGAAGCGGCTGGATGAGGCTGAGGCTGAAGAGGCAAAATCTGGAACGGCCACCGCAACAGCCGCCGCTGCAAGCGCCTCCACCGCCACCACTGCCGTCGCCGCCCCAGGAGAGCAGCACCGCCACCGCCACCACCGTCGCCGCCTCGGGCCGCAGCACCACCACCGCCACCACCGTCGCATCCTCGGGCCAGCACCGCCACCGCCACCACCGTCGTCGCCTCGGGCCGCAGCACCACCACCGCCACCACCGTCGCCGCCTCGGGCCGCAGCACCACCACCGCCACCACCGTCGCCGCCTCGGGCCGCAGCACCGCCACCGTCGCCGCCTCGGGCTGCAACACCGCTACCGCCACCACCGTCACCGCCGCAGGCACCACGGCCATTCCAGGCACCACGGCACGGAGCGGAGACACCGCCGCCTCCACCGCCGCCGTGGGTGCCAACGCCGTCGCCGTCGCCAGCAAAACGGCTCGGTGGGGAGCCGGAGTGCTGGGAGAAGGGGCCCTGGGTGTCGCCAGGCTGACATCGTGCCCGGAGCCGCGGTCCCCACCCGCCAGGCCGACAGTGAGCCGCCAGCATTCGGCGGACAGCAGCCACTGGCAGGAGATGGCCGAGGAAGAGTGGCCGTCCAGGGTGGCAGCCGAGGCCAGTAGACAGCGGGAGAGAGCCCCTAACAGCCGCTGGGCCAAACTCTTGGTTGTAGACGGTGTCCGCTACCGCATCCGGGTGGCAAGCGGAGTAGTAAGGGTCTTGAGGGCCCAATAAAAGGCCTTTTATGGTTGTAACACGCAAAGTGATTTGTTTATTTACATTTTGGGGTAACGGGTTGCCGGACATAGGTAATAGGGACGGGGGCGCCGAGATAGGCGGTCGATCGATAGTTGCGATCGATGGGTTAACAAAATTGGTTATTTCTATGTTCAAGAATTCAAATGGCAACTTAAGACAACGAAAAGGCAACGACGATGGCAACACTGGAACCCACAATCGATAAACGCGATCGTGGTGAGATTCCCGGGAGTTGCCGGACCGAGGGAAAGCGATATGGTGACTTTTAGTTTGGGGAAATGTCTGGGCGGGAAAATTCGAATTCCACGCAGGGGAACTGGGAACTGTCTTGGGAACTGGGAACTGTCTGGGAAATGGGAACTGGGAACTATCTGGGGAACTGGGAACTGTCTGGGGAACGGGGAACTGTCTGGGGAACAGGGAAACAGTCTGGGGAAATAATCTTTCAAGGAGCTGCATGGAAAAGTCTTTTAGGGAAACAGTCGCGGGAAAGTTCAAGTCTTTCAAGGAGCTGTACGGGTAAAGTCTTTTAGGAGAACAGTCTGGAGAAAGGTTAAGTCTTTCGGGGAACTGTCTGGGGAACATCTAACACGCAAGTCAGGCGGGGAATTCGAGTAGTCTAAACATAAAGGGCGGGAAAAGTCACCACTTTCATTACGTTTCCGAAGGAAGGGGGAAATGTGAGGAGTCATAAACTCCCCACAAATCCCGATGCAGGAGATCGGCCTAGCAACAGCGGAGGAGGCGAGAAAGCCGGAGAAATGAAGGGCATCCAGGTCAAACGGGAAACATTCGGACCTTGGACCCTCATATGGCAAGGGCAACGAGGTCAAACGGTGAATTGGCGGACTTTGGACCCGCCTAAAGAGGACACACCGTGAATTAACGGTACCTCGATGGACCTTGGACCCGCGCCCGGCAACGGCAACGGGGTCATACGGTAAATTGGCGGACTTCGGACCCGCCCAAAGAGGACACACCGTGAATTAACGGTACCTCAGTGGACCTTGGACCCGAGGGAAATAACGGCACCTACAGCGCCTATAAAAAGGACGGCGCAAGCGCAGCTCGGGACAGTACGAGTGCGAGAATCAGAGCGAGTGCGTGAACGCGGAATAAGTAAACATCGAAACCGAAGTGCCCAAGGATCAAGATCGCAAAGTCGAGACGCCGAACGACGGAAAGTCTACAAGGCTGAGGCTACAACGCTGAGATCCAACGGTGCTAGGTCGTGGTAAAGTCAAGCTTAGGGAGTCCTTGCGCGGTGTCAGGCGATAAAGGTGGCTAGGCGATAAGGGAGAACTCTGTTCTACCTGCTAGGCGATACACCTTGCCGACAAAGTCCAGGCTGAACTCCGGAAGCCAGGCGATAAAGGTGGCTAGGCGATAAGGCGTAACTTCGGTTCACCTGCTAGGCGATACACCTTGCCGGCCCCGGTAGGGAAGCTCGCATAACATCCAGGGTTTTGGTGGAGTCGTACCGATCTCAGTCACCCGGAGCAGCAAGCCGAAGCAACACAGCGGTAAGCCAAGAGCGACGCAGCAGCACGCCAGGAGCAGAGCAGCAGCGAGCCAGGAGCAACGCAGCAGGAGACAGCGACAACGGGCAGCAGAATAATAGCAATAAGGCTATATTTTAGAGAGTCAATAAACCAGCACCAACCTAATCATTTCTGGCGTTATCCTTTGGTCACGGGCGGTCACTCAATATAAATTTGGTGGAACGAACTCACAACCTCTCTGAGCTAGCCGCACGTTTACGTAGCGAGCAGAAATAAAGAATCAGGTCGTTACATCTGGCGCCCAAGAGTGATTGTCCTGACCAAGGAAACAAAAGTTCCGAGATGGGGAAGTCCTGGATTTATAATCTCAGGAAGGAAGACTTCGACGAGGTGAGCCAAGTTCTAGGAATTGAACTGGAGGGCTCAGTCGATTCGATGAGGAAGACGCTGGGAGACTTCGTCGACCAGACGGCAGAGGAGCTCTGGCTCCGATTTGGTAACGGGCCTGGAAAAGAAATTCCGGAAAATGCCCACGCCAAAATTTAAAATCACAACCGCAAGTGCCGAGGGCCTCATAGCGAGCTTGGATGTGTCGAGCATCGCAAGCCACGCAAGTCGGCAGCGGGAAAATAGCCGGGAAAGAAAGGAGAATTCCAGGACGCACACGCAGGACTACGCGAAGGTGGCCAAGCAGGTCCGGGAGTGGAATTTCCGCTACGACGGAAACGACAAGCCGCTGGAATTCTTGGAGCAAGTAGAGTGGTCAGCCGTGACTTACGGTCTCGACATAAATCAGATCCCACGAGCAATGCCGGAGCTGCTCCAAGGCAGAGCCTTGAAGTGGTTCATCGCCAACAATCGGCACTGGGAAACCTGGGGAGACTTCATCTACAGCTTCCAAAATTTCTTTCTGCCCCGAGGATACATGGCGAAGCTGGCGGATCAGGTCAGACAGAGGAAGCAAGCCTACGGGGAGAGCTTCAAAGACTTTATGGTGGATATGCAGACCCTGATGCGCCCACTGAATATGTCGACCAAGGAAACGCTGGAGAGGATAAAAGAGAACAGCACGCCGGCACTCAGAATGTTCGTTCGCCCATACGAATGTCGAAATTTAGAGACATTGATGGCGCTGGCTGACGAATTTGGGGAGCTCGACCAGCAGCGGGAGAAATTCGAGCTGGAAAACAATCCCCGCAAGCAGCAAGGGCAGAGCCACCCAGTGCCAAGGCCAAGACCAGACCAGGGTGCGGTGTGCAGGCGGTGCCAGGAGGACCCGGACGCACAACCACGAAGTACGCCGCGCGGCCACGAACCGGCAAACAATCGCGGCGGATACGTGGCAAATCCTACCCAGGCCTGCCGCAGATGCGGGGGTCCAGACCACAGGGCGAAGGAATGCCGAAACCAACGTCTTACGTTCTGCTGGCGATGCGGAAAAATAGGAGTTCGGACGGTTCAATGCTGTTCCGGGTCGGGAAACGCCCAGCGACCCCAGCCTCCGAGGGGCGGCCAGGGATCGCAAGGTGCTGCCTCTCGAAATTAATGGGCGACCTGCAGGCGGAAGAAATGCAACTGTCCGCCACGGTGCTCATAGGTGAAAGTAAGATTAAGGCCACGGTGGATACCGGCGCCACGGCGAGTTTCATCAGCGAAGAGCTGGCGGACAGGCTGCAGGCGGCAGGAAGGGTCGGACCCACGAGAAGGCGAGAAGTACGGATGGCAGACGGTCGCTGCGGGGAAATAAGATCACAGCTGGAGACCAGAATTGGACTGGGAACGAAAACAATTTCAATGGAGCTGCTGATTTTACCAGGACTGATCGACGCCCTGGTGTTGGGATGGAATTTCCTCACCAGAATTGGGGCCGAAGTCGAGTGCGCAGGACACAGCGCGTCGATACCGGCAAAGAATAGACGAGGAGGATGGCTGGAGGAAAAACTGTCAGTGGCAATAGTTGAAACACCCAAAAGATTTGCGGAAAAGGATGTGGAGGGATTTTTAAAAGCCGAGTTGGACGAACTGGAAGGAATAAATGGTACATCCAATGTGGCCGTACATAGGATCACCATGAAGGACGACCAACCAGTCAAACAACGGTACTACCCTAAAAATCCAAAAATGCAGGGTGAGATAAATGCCAAGGTAGACGAGCTGCTGGAAAAAGGATGCATCGAGCCGTCCAGGAGTCCCTACAGCTCACCAATAGTCATGGTGAGAAAGAAGACTGGAAAGTGGAGGCTGTGTGTGGATTTCCGGCAGATAAATGCGAGGTCCATAAAGGACGCATACCCGATGCCGATGATAAATTAAGAGGCATCCAGGTCAAACGGGAAACATTCGGACCTTGGACCCTCATATGGCAAGGGCAACGAGGTCAAACGGTGAATTGGCGGACTTTGGACCCGCCTAAAGAGGACACACCGTGAATTAACGGTACCTCGATGGACCTTGGACCCGCGCCCGGCAACGGCAACGGGGTCATACGGTAAATTGGCGGACTTCGGACCCGCCCAAAGAGGACACACCGTGAATTAACGGTACCTCAGTGGACCTTGGACCCGAGGGAAATAACGGCACATACAGCGCCTATAAAAAGGACGGCGCAAGCGCAGCTCGGGACAGTACGCGTGCGAGAATCAGAGCGAGTGCGTGAACGCGGAATAAGTAAACATCGAAACCGAAGTGCCCAAGGATCAAGATCGCAAAGTCGAGACGCCGAACGACGACAAGTCTACAAGGCTAAGGCTACAACGCTGAGATCCAACGGTGCTAGGTCGTGGTAAAGTCAAGCTTAGGGAGTCCTTGCGCGGTGTCAGGCGATGAAGGTGGCTAGGCGATAAGGGAGAACTCTGTTCTACCTGCTAGGCGATACACCTTGCCGACAAAGTCCAGGCTGAACTCCGGAAGCCAGGCGATAAAGGTGGCTAGGCGATAAGGCGTAACTTCGGTTCACCTGCTAGGCGATACACCTTGCCGGCCCCGGTAGGGAAGCTCGCATAACACCTTGCCGACAAAGTCCAGGCTGAACTCCGGAAGCCAGGCGATAAATAGGAAAGGCAACTCGGTTCACCTGCTAGGCGATACACCTTGCCGGCCCCGGTAGGGAAGCTCGCATAACATCCAGGGTTTGGTGGAGTCGTACCGATCTCAGTCACCCGGAGCAGCAAGCCGAAGCAACACAGCGGTAAGCCAGGAGCGACGCAGCAGCACGCCAGGAGCAGCAGCAGCG